GGGGGTAGGGGGTGGGGGTTATAGGAGTGGTCGCAGATTGGGTCGGCTTCTTCAGTGTGGCCCTCCATGCGAGAGATTTGATTAGGAGCAGCGAGTGTGTGCCGTGCATGCAGATGTCACATTAAAAAGGTAAAGCGTAGCCGGAGACAAGCGGGAGCTCCCCAGGGCCTGAGAAAACCACACTGTTCTCAAAACATCGCTGGGAACACGGTGAGTTTTTCTCTTTCCGGGCGATGGCGGACGAACCTATTAACCAATAAGACGGGACGCCACGCACGTACGTCCAGCTGTGGATAGGTTAGAGTGTGCTTGCGTAATGCCACATGCTCCCCTCACACAAGCGCCAACTGTTTTGTCTGCTTACACGCTCACAAGAGAACCATTAGCGACGCTCATTAACACACATATTTAATCAGCCAATAACATGGCAGAAATTCATGGAAGACATACTGGGATAAACCTCTGTCCCTTGTAAACATCGAAGCCTCGTTCACCTGCTCATTGGCAGCAACGGGTCACCGGTGACATGTAACTGTTATTGCTTGTGACTGATTAATTATCTTGCTTTAATTCTTATTCCACAAACGCAATGTCAATCAGGGTTGCGTGTTTTGACAAGTTCTGGAACAGGTCTGGAAGTATTCTTGCTTAAAAAAAAAAAAAAAGACCAAATGACTGTTGGTGCCAATGAACTTGGACTTGTTTTGCATAACCATTGCTCTGCCTTATTGTTTTATTATAATTATTATTATTATATATTTTTTTGGTTATATTGTTTTGATTAATAAATTGTGTGTTATACATATATATATATATATATATATATATATAGATATATATAGATATATATAGATATATAATTATTTAATTAATAAATGATGCCTCAAAATTGGAGTGCAGTATGCACAGTATGAAGACTGTTTTCCACAAGGGAAATATAAAAAAAGAAAGGAAGGAATTCTTTTTAAAGGTACGCCAGCGCATGCCCTTTGGTCGAGTTCTTCCTGTGAGGTTTGGACAATAGACTTTGGAAACATCTAAAAGGTGGCCTGCGGAATAAAAGGTTTCCTGGAGCCTGAAAAGTGATGAGTTTGTCTGATGTTTCAATTCATTAGAATGGGCCCAATGGCGGTAAATGGCCAAGAAGTGAAAGCAAGTGTTGTCCAACATCTTCCACCTTGATGCTGAGAATAGCAACTGCAATATTTTCCAAAGTTGTTTGTGCCTGCCCATTAAGTATGAAGCGACTGTTATTTTATGTGACTGGCAATATGGCCACTGTATGTGCCACATGCGGTGATCAATAGACAAGTGTAATTGGGTGTCTTGGTGAAGGTGAAGCTCATTTGCATCCGATTTTGAGCCACCCCCTCAAAACAGGCTAATTTGGGGGAAAAAAAGCTACAATAAAGACAACAGAAGCATGGATTGTAATTTGCACTCGAGGAGTCAGAATTTTTATCACCAAGCCCAATTACACAATTTATCGCGGAACTTAGCATGTGGTGCTTTCTGTCCACCAGACCTATTATCTAATGCATCGCCCGAAGTGCAAAAAAACACGTCGCTAACCTTTAAAATTCAAGCAACCGCGGTGACTTTTGAATTCGGTGGCTGTCACAGAAATATGATCCATTAGCAGCCAAGGCGGTTTTTACAGGACATTAGCCTCACTAACATTCAGAAATAAAAACCAGCCGTCCCACCTGCATCGCTGGATGGTTCATCGTTTGGCATTACGCTGGCTGCATTTTCGTGATTATTTATATACACGGTCTCACTCAGCTACATGATGATGATGATGAATTGTTTGGATGAGGTCTAGCGCATTTGCGAGTGAAATTTAAAAACCGCGCACGTGCAAAAAAAATAACTTTTTAGATGCGGATGTGAAATATTTACATCCAATATTGCCTCGCATGCCGCATGTGTGTTTAATGATTGGTTTATTTCCGACACTGTTGGTATTTTCTCAAGAACATCGCAGAGCTTGAAATTTCAAGATCAGAACAGGCTGTTCTTGTTTCTGTACTCCTTCACTAAAGCAGTCAATTCAGATTTTTGGCATTTGAGAACTCAGCATAATTGCGACGGGGTTTTATGTAATGCAACACAATTAGAGCACTAATAAAACTCAGGCGCCTTGAAAAGACCGCTTACTATTTGAGACTTTTTTTTGTGGGTGTGGGGGGAAAAGTCAAATTAGACATGATTTTCCTGGTATCGCCTCAATTATCTTGCGGTAAAGTCACGTCGTCTCCGTCACCTCAAAGATCTGTCTGTTCGTGCCGTTATATTTAATGTTTCAAAAGTACAGCACACAAAACTGGAACTCATTCGATTTTCCAAAGTTGGTCAAATGTTTCGCATGCCATTTTCTCCTGTGTTGTATTTTTTACACAGTACATGCATATAGAGCAGTACGCAAACTTAGGGAGGGCACCTCAAATGTATCCCTGGGATAAAATAAAAAAATAAAAGAATATCCCTATAATGGTAACAAAATATGAACAGCTCTCAATATAGTGCTGTACACTTCAACACCACTGCAATCTGTCGCCACAATGACCTTTAGTATTGCGACTGTATATTTACCAGTAACAGTCCAAACTGTTGTAAAGGCGGTTTATATTGGATGTCATTAGAATGCGCATATTCAAAAATATGTACAATAATATACAACATAAAA